CAGCCTAAGGGCTAAAACGCTGAGCTATGGACCTCGGCACCCATTCGCCTCTTCGGCATGGGCGAATTCTAGGAGAGTGGACTATAAGTCACTCCCCCAGCCTAAGGGCTAGAATGTCGAGCTATGGACCTCGGCACCCAGTCGCCTCTTCGGCATGGGTGAACTCTAGGAGAGTGGACTATAAGTCGCTCCCCCAGCCTAAGGGCTAAAATGCTGAGCTAAGGACCTCGGCGCCCAGTCACCTCTTCGGCATGGGCGAGCTCCAGAGAGTGGACCATAAGTCGCTCCCTCAACCTAAGGGCTAAAACGTCGAGCTAACGAAAGACCTTGGTACCGTGTAAGACCTAATCGCCTCCTCGGCATAGGCTAAGTACTTGTAATGCCCAAGGCGCGGGCAGCTCGGGTATGAACCTTATGATGCATAACCCGCCCCGGCATACAATAGGTTGAACCTGTTAGAGACAGCCGATGACTGGGGTCCCCCCCTATTTATAGCCGGTATGCCCGAGATTCAACGGTTGAGATCAAGACGATCTAACGGCTCTCAAGAAAACCGGCTGCGCGACCCCCGAGGTGAAATCAGTTTAGTGCATTTTTTGACGTCCGCGGAGTCTATAGATTGCGTGACGTCCGCGCGTGAACTGTACGCGACCCGGGTTATCCATGATTGAGCCGAGCAGCGAACTGGTCTGACCAGCGAACTCTGACAAGGCGGCCTAGACTTCAGGCCAAATCCACCCGTCACGTCGTGAACTCCCCACACCAGGTCAGGACCCCTGGCTCGGGGAGTGGGGGGCAATTGATGGAGGGTGATTTGACCCGACCTCATCATAAGGGGACACGTGGACGTGACTCAGCACAAGGGAACAACTCAATGCAACTAGTCCGCCAAGATCCAGCGTGCCAACTCGCCACAAGATGACACTCCAATTACCTTGAGCTAAGATTCTTCCAAGACGAGAATTTCCCGAGCTGAAGGCACTTTGGGTTGAGCTCGGGAGCCTTCTAAGAATAATCTCGCCCGTCCAAACTCAAGTGAGCCACCTCGGGTAGAAGCACCTCGGCACAATGCCAGCAGCTCGACACAAGATAGCTCGGCACGAGGTAGCTCGGGGCAGAGCAGCTCGGCGTATCACTGGAGGATCTCCTACCTGACAACCGTACCTGCCACATCTGGAGACTACACCCACGTCTCTCGCCAGGCGGCGTCGTGCCTGCCAACCCAGAGAGGTGTCCTTCGCCTGATAAGGCCGTACTCTACAACAGTTGCCTACGCAGCCCTGGCAAGTAACGGTTGCAGCAGAGAATCAGAGGCGGTTATGCAAGATCTGTCAGAACACCACTATATAAGAGCTCCGACCCCCAAAGAGCAAGGGTATTGCAACTTGCATGATCTGCACTCTAGCCCTTTTATTTTTCTCTGCAACTCTCTCTTTTAGCTCTCCGCTTCCTCTCCCAGTTACTAACTTAAGCATCGGAGTATTCCCGCCGGGTGTGCTCCTTGGGATCCCTTCATCTTCTTCTTCACAGGTGCTTCGTCCGCTGCCAGGTAGGAGCGCAGCCACTTCCAGCTAGGAGTGACTAGGTTGCGCATCATCAGAAACTTCTATGAAAACAATTTACCTACATTTTTTACATTTTATTTCTTGTATTAAAAAATTCAAAAAAATCCATCAATTTTTCTAATTTTCCTACATTTTTATGGTTGGTTTTCTTGTACTTTTGTTATTTATTTTCACTTTTTTGCTTTACTATAAATTTTGTTTTTTTCTTTTGTAATTTTTATATTTTTCCTTTTTTTTGTGTTTCATGTAATTTTTGTATTTTGTTTAAATTTTATCATTTTTCTAAATGTTTCATAATTTCTGTGGGTTTTTTTTTGTAGTTTATACAGTTTCCTGTATTTTCTTATTTATTTGAAATTTTTGTGTTTTTCTATAATTTCTTCGATTTTATGCAATTTCTATTTTTGATATTTTATATTTTTCTATACATATTTGTATTTTTTTGCAATTTTCTATGTTTTTTACAATTTTCTATTTTTATGTGAAATGATGATTTCATTAAAATTTTTTATTTTTCTATAATTTTTGATGTTTTACATGAAATATATTTATCATTTTCAGTGTTTTTGTACATTTTTGTTTTAATTTGAAAAATATATTTTCAACTTTTTATCATCTTTATGTTTTCTTTTATTAGAAAAATCCCAAGGCTAATTGCATTTCATACGTCGGTTCAAAATTGCGATAGTTGTGTTAAGAATGCATTTATATGTTTTCTTATGATATTCCTATGGTGCCTTGTTTTTTCTTTATTTTTGCTCTTCGTTTCTCAAGATGTGCCTTTTTTTTTTTTTTACTTTTGAAAGAAATAAATGGTCAGATATTGAAGACTACACTTGATGCTTCTAAATTTTGATAATGTATAGTTTACCAAAGTATGAGTACTCATAAACTACCACCAAATAACTTATCCCACCACCAAGTTCTAAATTCCACATGAGGCTTGAATGTTGCAAAATTTCTGATTGCCATGAATCCATCTGAATATTGTTAGTGTTTCCTGGGTCATAAGAGATTTTGGGCAACATGTCAAGGTTTCTTGGTGGGCATAAATATTCTTTATTGCTTAAGTAACATTTGGGTCCTCCTTATATCTGCTGCAGTTAGCATGGTCTGGTCTTTCTTAGTGAGTCATTAGTCCTATCTAAGCTTTTTATGAGCTAATGGTCGCTTTGTATAGGTTTTCTAGAGGGGTAAGATTTCTATCTTCCCCCCTCCTAGCCTTGTTTTTTCTGCAATTGATAACTCTGTGGTGGCCAACCCTCCTCTGGTAGTAAAGTTTGCGGTTTAGAAAAAAGAAAATAAAAAAGGGCAGCTTGATTACTTGTTCTAAACACAAACTCAAAAAACACTTGATTCATGGTAGATACTACAGACTGAATATCATCACAGACATTATAGGTTGTGGATGAGTTTAAATCGTCCCAACTTAAATTTTTATTTTTTTATCTTATCAAATATATTAAAAAAAACCACAATTTATTGGGATAAATGAGAGATAACATGTTTAAAGTAATTTAAGTACCACTCATGGTATTACAGTAGCATATTTAAGCCAAATTTTTTCATTTAATTCTTTTCGGTATTACAGTAGTCAGATCAATACTAGTGAGGACTCTGGTGGGGACAGTCTATGTGGAGCAGCTTGCATATGGGGTGAGGCCCGCTAGCCATGCCATGAAGAGCTTGTAGGTTGTGATTCCACATTATTGATCCTGTGCTACCTATTTATGAGTGATATCGAGAGACCATCTCAATTACTGGGTCATCTGTAAAATTTTCATAAATTTAATCACTTTCTAGATTTTAACCTCATTGATTATCCTTTATCAATGTTCATGGTTTGATATTCGAGATTGGTTGGTGAATGTTTGTTAAGTAAGAATCTAGACCATCCTGGAATTTAGGTTCAGTTTGGAAGGAGTACAAATATAAATATATAGAATGCAAAATCTTATATTATTTTGTATGTATTTGTATTATACATTTTTGTATTTATATTTTTTTTCCAAATTTCAAGTCGAGCTTTAGGCTCAGTTTCAAAAGAGTATAAATACAAATATATGCAGTGTAAATACATATTTATATTTGTATTCTTTCTAAAATGCAAACCGAGCTTTAGGTTTAGTTCCAAAAGAGTACAAATACAAATATATACAGTGTAAGTACATACAAAATAATAAAGAATACAAAGCTTTGCACTCTATATATTTGTAATTGTACTCCTTCCAAACTGAGCCTTAAGAATTAAGGTTAAGAATAACCTATATAGATTTAAATGTAATATTGAAGAACTATATAGTTTCCATGGGGACTTGTATGGATGAGGTACCTTCTAGATTGAGTCCGGATTTCTACCAACAGGACACTAGTCTAGCTACCAACATTGTCTCTAGTCACACATCTCAAACATGATTGTTGTCTTAAAAGTATGATCCCATCCATGACAACATACTGCTAAGAAACATGTTTGAGATGTGTGGCTATATATATCATATTGGAAGTTGTGTTGGTTGTGCCTCGTTGGTAATAGATCCAATCATTTTTATTGCATTTAGAGAACTAAGAAATTGAAAAAACAAATGTTTACATATCATGTTTATAACTCTTATTAGAACTATTTTATTTTTAGATATTAGAATTCACATTTGCCAAACAACACCTTATAATCGACCTTTTTATTTGATCATCACTCAAATTAGATTTGTTGTTGGAATTTTACCTTTCTAATCATAAAATGAAGTACCCTAGTTGAAAGGGGCATAATTTGGCAATTCAAGGAGCATATGGGCCAAAACTTGTAGTAGTGGAAAGGGAATACATAGAGCCCTCTTAAGCCTTAAATACTCTGGTGCATGTAAGATTTCTGGTATGATTAAATCTCTTATTAGAATGACCCATAACAACCATGTTATTCTCTTGTAGATGGTTTTTACCCTACTTTCTTTGATCAATTCAAAGAAAAGGATTTTATTTTCATGGGGAATGTTGTGCTACCCCTTTCAAGGAGGCATCTAAAAAATTTATGTTTTCTTTTTCAAAACAAAAATAACTACCACATATCATATTGTTTTTTGTTGATATAAAAATTGTGAGACCCATGATATACACCGACAAACATACCCTTCTCTTTTCATTAGTGCCACCTTGTCTGTAGGGCGAAGAAAAACAAGAGTTGCTCAAACTCATTGTCTATTAGCATTTTGTTACTTATTTATTACACTCCTTCACATTAAGCCTCTTTAACGAGCTTTTGCAAAAGCTGCTAGTGATTATAAATAAGAAGGATCTAATAGTCTTTTGATAGCCTGATTTGTTTGATAGAGCACCTCATTAATCAATTGATGTAACCATAAAGAAGCATAAAATGTTTGGTTGTAAAAGAAAGAGCAAGGTACCTCAATTCATATAGCAAGCAACACTCCTGAACTCAGCCTTGTCATATAAGATGGTTAATTCTTTTATGTACATTGAAGGTATCATGAAAATCCCATAGAAAGCAAGGCAAAGTGTATATAAAAGGCAACAAATGAGATCTGGCCATAGGAGAAAAGCATGCCTCCATAGGAGTAGGATTCAAAACTAAAAGTCATTAATAGTAGAAAGCAAATACTAGTAAGGTCAGTCAGTCCTCACAAGATACAAGAACTATTTCCACTTCTTCATGAACTTTCCAAATCCATGCTTCCCATGCTTAAACTTCCCATGCTTGGCAAATTTTCCATGCTTAAACTTCCCGTGTTTGTGGGAACCATGCCCATAGAAGGCACCATGTGCAAGATGATGAGCACCTTGTGACATCTGATGAGCTCCATAAGCAACTGCAGCAGCAGTCGCACCTCCAGCAATCATTGCTCCCATGCTAGATCCATGCCCTGTAATTCAGAAACCATCCACAAAATCAAGGACATAATTTACAAGGGTGCTTTTTACTTCTTTGACTTGGAACTTAGGCCCGTTCGTTTTTCGGCAAGTTATTTATCTGGATAAATGCAATTACCTGGGTAAGTGTATTTATCCATGTTTTTTTTTTCTAGGTAAATAAGGTAATGACCATTTTATCCATAAAAAATCGATTATTAAAAGGGGCATTTTTGTCCCATTCAAATGTTAACAACTTTCCCCTAGGTGGGAAAGTTATTTACCCACCTAGGAGATGGTACCCAGGAAAATAAACTTTCCTTGGTCCCTACATAAATCTGAAAAATGAACATGGGATTCTTGGTCAATGAAAACCAAAATCCCATTAACCAACTTTCCCCCCTTTCAAAATCCAAAAAAAAACACCCCGTTAGAAGTTAGGATTGTCTAAAAAACTATTAACTAAACCAGAGGCATTTGACTTACTAATTAATGATCTGTCTAAGTTAAACTCCAGTTTGTTACTGGTAGGAGTCGAATTCATGATGCTTAAGATCACCATGTAGCTGAGAGATGGAACTCATGTAGCAAAAGCAACTAAATTTTCGAACTATAGTCGAAAGTGAGATTAATTAAAAATCACCAATACAGAAAGCAAAACCCTTATTGTCCTCTAGTTGTTTTTGAAGTAGAAGAACTCAAGCAATCTTATATGGCTATATCAAGCACCAATTACAGTTCAGTGGCAAATGTAAATGTTTCAAATTACTTAATCTAGTTCAAATTAATGATTGTGTGGGATTTTAAATGCCAGATTCTCAATTACATCATGTAGGGATAAAATCATCATGTTACAAGAAATATCATGGTGCAAGGGAGATGATTCTTGGCAAGATATGATCATCAATAATACCTCCATGATGTGGAGCAGGTGGACCAGGATAACCAGCTGGAGGGTATGCGCCTGGTGGGGGGTATCCTGCTGGGGGGTAGCCCTGAGGAGGATATCCATGTGGTGGGTAGCCCTGTGGAGGGGGGTATGCACCTGGTGGGGGGTACCCCTGAGGAGGGGCGTATGCACCTGGTGGTGGGTAATGACCAGGAGGATATCCAGCCATACCAGGAACAAGATGTGAGAAAAGCCCTTTGTCTTGTGATTCATCATGTTTGTCCTTTCCACCACCCATTTTTCTTCAATGTAAAACTGTTGCTACAAAAACTGACAAAGAAGACAATTGTTAGATACAATCCATAGAAAGTCAACTTGTCTACTAGCTTCAACATAATAAATAGGACTGAAGTTACACTTTGGTGATTCATATTTTCCAAAGCCTCTCCCAGAAGCTAAATCTTTGCTATGGTCTAGGGAAGAAGGTTCAAGGAAAACAAGTGCAGATGCAATAAGTGAAGAATCATAGAAGTAAAATACATGCCTTGGGTAACTATATCCTGGTCACATTGTATTGTGGCAGAATAAGCATGTAATGTTAGACTTTTGATTATGTTTGCCTTAGTTGGGATATAAATGACAGAGTAGGCTTTTCTAGAAATTATGAAATGTGAATACTAATTTACTATATTTATCAAAACAAAAAAAAAAATAAGAATGCTAATTTGCTATTAGCTAGCCCACAAACTTTCCTTGAATAATAGATACATTTGAAATAGTTGGTTTTCTCAAAGAAGTACTTCTGTTCAATCCAAAATCCAAAAAGAATAAAAGATATGGAATTCCTATTCTTTCCAAAGATATGGGATTCTGATTCAGTTCAAACAACAAAGAAGTTACAAGTAAGGTTTGGCCGCGAAGGCAGTTCAGCAGGCTGTGGAACCAGAATCAATGATGAGGTTTTACGCCAATAATAAAATACATGAGGCCCCACTGTAAAAGCAAATAATTAAAAACTTAAAACAGATTTGGCTTTGTATCATTCAAAATATATATTGGCCACAAATGCTAATCATACAAGATCATGAATGTCAACCCGGGCATCTTAAGCCTTTGAGCATGCATGAGCCATGATAGAATGAGCAAACCCATAATGAATCTGTATTGCTGAAAATACATCCCACAGAAATGCAAATAACAAAAAAAAAAAAAAAAAAAAAAACTTAAAACAGATTGATATATTGGCCACAAATGCTGATTATACAGGATATCAATGTCAACTCTGGCATCTTAAAGCCTTTGAGTATGCACGAGCCATGATAGAATGAGCAAACTCATAATGAAGTTGAATCTGTACTTCTGAAAATATATCCTACATAATTGCTAACAAATACAAGGCCGGCTCTGACAAAATCATTCTCAGGCAATAGAAGAGAGAAATTCCCGGAATGAAGCTCTATGACAAAGCTCCATCATAAGAAAGACAGCAAACACCTAAATCTTAAATAGTCAGAAAACAAAAACAATTCACGCACGACACATCCATAACAAGAATTAGACAAATAAACAACACAACCCGTCAAGCAATAAATCAATCAAATTTCAAAGAAGCAATTGAATTCAAATGAAATAATCTCTAGAAAAAGGATGAAACAAGGAAGATTCAGATCTTAATACCCTAAACCTGTGAATAATTTCGTACCAAAAATTCCACAGGAGGTATATTTACAGAGAGAATTGCCAACAAGGGAGTAAAAACTCCATTGAGAAACACAAATCGAACAACAATCACGTAAATTTTGGTGAAGCCGGAATAAGTAATTCAGGAAGAGAAGCGCTAACCGATTGCCCTTCTCCGAATATGATTGAGACAAGCAGAAATCAGTGACAATTCCGAATTCCTAGGTGGTGGAAACGTGTGAAATCCAAACAAAAATTCCATACTTAAATTATATGCACGTTATTTTTAAACCCACCAAATCTGGTATAGACTCTAGTCCTTGCGACGGTTTTTTATTTTTAGCTTTATAAAAAAAAAAAAAAATTGGGTAAAAGACTTAAATATACTTGAGTTTTTCAAAAGGGTTAAAATACATAAACCTCTCTTGAATTTTCTGACAATTATAAAAACCTCCCTATGTTTTTACTTTAACAAAAACCTCCCCTATAAATGTTATCAAATATTCAACTATCTCCCTTCTTAGACCTAGAGAGAAAAGCCGACTTAATGTATTTATTTTTTAAAATACCTATTTTGTCTTTCCTCTAAAAACACTGTTCATTTGTTCCTAAGAACAAAGAACTAGAGGCGATCGGCCTTCCATTGCATACCCATGGCTTCTTCAAAACAGAATCAAGTGCAAAGAGTCTGGGACATGGTCCATCAATCTACCGCTCCCATTACTTGGGATGATTTAGTTTTAAAAAGAAATTCCCAATACAAAGTTGAAAGTGAAAGTTTTACTATTGTAACAAGTCAAAGGGGATTCATATCTTATGGAATTAAACAAGTCAAGTGAAGGTTTTACTATCGTCTTCCACCAATTGTTTGTCTCTGCAAGTCTAATCTCATCCGATATTCAACGTTGGAATTATTGGAGTAAGACAAAAAGGTCGAAATGCAAGCTGTGTTAGTTAAATACCTTGAGATACACTATGAAGATGGTACACGAGATTAAAAAGGCAAAAGCCAAGATGCAGCTTCATGTATCCAAGGCCAAAGAGAGAGAGAGTCGACGACTCGACTCTGCTTGAAGAAAGTTTAATAATGGGAAAATCTATGATATGGAAAAAGTATCATAACCAATCAACATTCCACTTCTCTATTTCAGTAATACCGGTTTCAAAAACAACAATTTAAATTGTATTTTAAAAAAGAAATTCATTTCAAGATAAGGACATTAAAGTCTTCACCGTTAAACGTCACCTAGAAGCTGTTCCGGTGGATGGGGGTGCACGATGGCTAGGAAAGCTCACTTCCGACGGTGAAGAACGGCTGCTTCGAACGGCTAGTACAGGGGGCCTCTGACAATCAAAGACGGTCGGGAGAAATGTATGTGATCGAGAAACAGTGTTGATTTCTGGATATGATCTCTCTCTTCGATGCTTGTTCGAGTTTTCAGGAGTTTTTAGTCTTCGCGTCGTCTAACGGTAACTAAACAGAGAATAGAAGATGCCTGGTACTGAGCAGGAGGTGCGCATTAACGGCCACTCTTCCCCTTCTTCTATTGCTTTCCAAGCAAAACAAAACGGCATGACCAAGAAGCTCCCCTCTGATTCCGTTGTTAACCTTGACCAGTAATTAAGTTTCCAATTCGAAGCTTGTGCGTTATTTGCTTCCATCATTTTCAATTACAGTTGAAGTTGGGTTTTTGATATGTACATCGTCCCAGGATACAGTAATTTCATATTCTCAGACTGACGCCTGATGGTATTTTTTATTTGACTTTAACAGTGGTGATCCAAAAATGTTCAAGCCATATTGGCAGAAGATGGGGGACAAGTGCACAGTGGTGATCTCCGTCTGGCAATCGCTAAGCTACTTCTCCGACATTACAAACTTGTTCTAGTTTCTGGAGCCGGAATTAGTGGAAGAGATCAGACGCTTGCATCATTTGGTGACCAACGCTAAAACAGAAGGTTGTTACATCATGGTTGGTACCAGTTCAGCACAACTCTTTCAGGCAGCACTCTATGCTTTATCATCTCTGATTCAGCAGAGCCGATCAACATCGTTTCAGCCGTTCCATACTATTCGGTGAGTTATTGAGTTTTCTCACAATCTCACTCTATACATTAGCTGTGAATTCACGGCGCGTATCATTTGTTTCTAGATAACTAGCAGACTTATTTGCACGAGAAAGACCCATCTGATGATACTGTTATTGAGATTTGAATTAAGCCATCAGAATTGTTCAGTACTTATTTAAAATTCTTCTTGGGACCTCATTAGACGTTAGTGACTGTGTCTCATTAGGAATGGCAACGGGGGCGGGTTCAGAGCGGGGATTACATTCCCCATCCTTGACCCCAACCCCCAAATTACCCTCCGTCCCCCTCTTTGATCCCTGAGGGGGAAAGGAATCCCCTCCATCCCCGACTTCCCCGACGGATTGAGGTTACAGAGACATTGAGACTAAGAGAGAGAAAGAGAGGAGAAGACCGTTGGGAGAGTTAAGGTTGGCGACAAGAGAGAGTCCGACGGGCGACAACAGTCAGCAACAATAGACGAAGGTTAGAAGGACTGACGACTGAAACTCTTCTTTGAGTATCTCTTCTCTATCACTTGAAAAGGCACGGAGCTAGGGTTCTGGGTCTTCTGACGGCGACGACGATCGGCGACGAAGAGTCGAAGACGAAGGCATGCAAAAAGCTAAGGTTCACTGGTTTAGCTGTTCCAGAGATAGAGTTAAGAGTTCTCGATTTCTCTCTTCTCTTTGTCGAGTGTGTGTCGAGGGTTTTAGTTTAGTATTTTACACTTTTATTGTTTTTAAAGTTTTAATAATTAATATTTTAAAAACGAATAATATTATATATTTAAATTTATAATATATATTAATTGGGGTGGAGATTATTTATTCCTCGCCCCCGTCCCCGATCGGGGGGATTCAGGGGTAGCCCCATCCCTGTCTCGTGCAAATAGGTCTGTTAGTCTTCTTCAGCATTGTTTATCTTTGACTGTGGAATATTATTACTGTTTCGCTGACGTGGGCGGAGGTGTTGAAAAAAGAATCATATTTATTAATTATCTTATTGTAGTCGACGGAAGTTTTGTATTCCGTCCCAGGGTAATTAAGAGCTGACTGAAAAAACAAATAATTAATCACCAGTTACTATAGTAAACCGGTAATTGCTGCAAACAGGAATTTTTCATAGGATATGGTTTTACATATCATAGTTAGGGCATAAGGGCAAAATGGATAAAAACTTCAGGGAGCTTTTTATAATTTACCCTTTTTAAAAAACACTTTAATATACCTTATTACGACCTTTCTTACTCTTCATTTTCTTTCAAATTTTCGAAGTACATCCTACGTATTTCAAACCCATGTGATGTGAGTGGTGGGCAACTTCAAATGCACCTTTGAGTTATTTTGGTTTTTCACCACTTCCTACCTTCTGGTTAGCTAGAACATTAGGATTTAGCATCATGATGACTTGATCTTCTTGGAGGTGATTCTTTGAGTTAAGAGACAAGTAGAAGAAAGATGGGCCCATCACAGCAGAAAAACCTAACCCCTTCATTCAATTTTCCTCTTGTCTTCAAGGTTTGATGCCCTATTATGGCCTTAGTTAATGAAAGAGTCATTAAACAGAGTACATTTGTCTTAGAGAGAAATCTGAATAGCACTTTAATCCAAGAAGTGACTGATTTTGAGGTGGAAGACATCAAATTCGGTGACTTGAGATTTTGTTAAATTAAAAATGTTCAGTCTCGACCATTAGATTAGATTATTCTTCTTCCTCATCGTTATCATTACGAAACAACAGAGTACACCTTTGCAACTACTCTTGACTTTTTTACAGTGTTGCTGAATCAGTTCTAGGATGAACTAGACATAAAGGAAGAGGAAAATACAAATCCCATTATCTTCCACTGATCCTTATCTGCAAGTGCACTTGCAGTTCTCAATGTGGTTGAAGGAATTGCCCTAGATTGCTCATTTCTTTGCTGTTTTCTTTCATTTCATAGAACCATTTTCCATGATTGTGGTCAAGACAAGCTACGATGAACCTCAAATTCCATAACCAATATGTATTTCCACCTCTGGTTGAACTTTGAATATTTTCTCCTCTCCTCCAATGTTCTTTACTTCTTCTTCTTCACTTCTATTTCTTTATTGGAAGGGAAAAATATGATTTTAAAAATTTTAGATGACTCCATATGTCAAGTTTTATTGATAGGGTATGTTTAAGTCCAATTGGGTTAGCCTACAAGGTATATTTAAGTTTATTTTAAAAACTCAAGGTACATTTAAGTCAATTTATAAAAATTCAGGGTAATGTTTAAATCTTTTATCCAAAAACATTTTCCTATTCATATAACATGGCAGCATAGCATGATATTAGAAAAAAAATACCATAGAGAAAATTTTTCAATCCTTTTGCTTCTTGGAATCAGAATAAGACTCAGAAGACAAAACTCCCATCTAAAATTGGAGAGTTGGGGAATTGAACATTTTTTTTCTTGGCAAAAGTCCTATTTATGTTATATGTGGGGCTGAATATGACATGTATAAATTGATTTTAAAAATTCAATGTATATATAATTAGCTTCTCAAATTTACAGGGTATATACAAGTAATTAACCCATTTTTAAATGTGCTATTTTAGTCTCTCAACTTCTAGAAATATACATTTCAGTCAACTTTGTTAAACTAACGCGGTGAGGGGTAAAATTATGAAAATATCCATATTCTATTTCTATTTTTCACAATTCATCTTTGTTTTATCTTTGGACTTTACACAAACCATCCATATCAAAGTAAGCATCCAAAAGTGAGACTACCCCAATGAATAAATAGGGGTGAATTTACTTTGCCACTACTAGTTTGCATCAAAAGTCCAAAGGTGGAAGAAGATGAATAGTAAAAAATATTGATATTTAGGTACAATTCTTGCCAATTTTGACCATAAAGACTAAAAAGGGTCATTTTGGCCCCCAGACTTTGATAAAAAAGGCCATTTTCAACCCTAAAGTTTGAAAATGGGCCACTGTAATAAAGTTAAGTAAGTAAATTACTTTAAGGTCTAATTAAATGACCCTAAAGTTAATTAGTTTTAATTTACTTAATTAAATTAAATAAATTATACTAATTAAGATAATTAAGTAAATTAAGCAATTAAATAAGTAAATTAAATTAATTAAGGAAACAAAGTTAATTAATTAAATTAAATAAACAAAGCAAATCAATCTAAATAAGTAAATTAAGCCAATTAAGCAAGGCAATTTAAAAATTGACCAAAATGGAACCATTTTGGCCACTAGTTTTTAGGTTAATAATTTGGTTGTTCGATCTGAATAAACCAGTTCCTAGGGTTGAATGGTCAGTCGCTGGGTATAAAATGGAACTAGATGATTGACCAATTCCTAGGTAGAATAGTTTGACCGCCTGAAATTTTTAACTTGGTTAACAAACTATTGACCCAAATGATTGAACTTCTAAACTGTTTGATCCAATAAATGGTTTTCAAGTCAATTTTTATTTTAATTATACTTTAATTTTTATTTTTCAAAATGTCATGGGTTGATCCATTTGGACCAAACAATCAAACCATTGATCAAAGTGGTTTCGTTTTAGGTTGATTTTTAAAACCATACTTAATTGGCTTAATTTACTTATTTAGATTGATTAGCTCTGTTTGTTAAACTTAATTAATTAACATTGTTTTCTTAATTAATTTAATTAACTTATTTACTTAAATTATCTTAATTAATGCAATTTTCAAACTTTGGGGTGAAAGTGACCTTTTTCAAACTTTGCGTAGTGCCACATAACATTGTCTAACTGATATGTCAACACCATTTCAAATGCCATCCTTTTTTGCCTACAAATGGCCTTTTTATCTTAAGTAAGGGGTCGAAAATGGACCTTTTTAATATTTAGGGTCAAAATTGATTGTTAGAGCCAAAAACCCTTTTTTCTTCTATTCATCTTTTTCTACTTTTGGACTTTAGATGCAAACCAGTAGTGGCAAAGTACGTTCACCTGATAGAACAAAGATGGAACAAAGATGAATGGTGAAAAAAGAGAATTAGAATATGGGTATTTTCATAATTTTACCCCTCACCACGTTAGTTTAACAAAGTTGGACTGAAATGTATATTTCTCTTATGTTTTTTTTTTTTTGTTAAACAAAACATAGCTTGAGGATTTATCTAAGTTGGTATTTTCAATAGGATTCCTCTAATTTGGTTTGAAAGAAAGGTAGGAAAACTTGTACAAGGTAAGTATGAGTTTCTCTACCTTTTCTTTCTGATGACGCGCATTTTGGCAGCTACTGGTTGGCTAGTGACTTAGATGCCTGGCTAAATAATCCCTACCTGGAAGGTGGCTTGGATACCTAACTGAATGGTTTCTACCTGGAAGGTGGCTTGGACGTCTAGCTGAATGGTAACGAGCTGGAGAGGTGGCTCTGATGCCTAGCTAAATGGTGACGAGCTGGAGAGGTGGTTTTGATGCCTAACTGAGTGGTGATGAGCTGGAGAGGTGGCTTTGATGCCTAATTGAGTGGTGACGAGT